TTTGACGTACAACAACAGGTGCCACCGATCAAATTGCCACTGGCCGTGTTTTTGGACCATTTTGGATGCCTAGTACTCATCCCAAGCGGGGTTCCATGCTGCCAATTCCCCGTACACATCCTTGAGTGTTTTATTGGACCAAGGCCTGCGGGTGCCGTCCAATTGGCCCAACCTCTTTGTTCTCACAATTTCAATCTGGGTGCAAACGCTACAGTAATATAGTATATCTATTTGTTCAAAACGAGCATGCAAACTTGCAACAATGTAAATTAGATATGCCATCTTACAGATAGAAATGCTGTGAATGCCAAGCAAATTTTGCTGGAAGTCGCGCAGTAAAGCGCCCCAACCCATAGGATGGATCCAAGCCGTGCAGCCATCGTTGTTCTCTTGTGGCCGATTTGCCAGGGATGCCAACTTGTACAATTCCTCGATAGCATTGATGTCAGTACACAACAGATAAAGTCACAGAAACAGTGTAATTAAGTGTCATTTCTTCGCTTCCAAATAAAATGAAGCATCGCTTCATCTACAGGACTGCGCGGCCCCACGCTCCAATTTGATGTCGAGATCTAGCCAGCTTGGCCAGACTTGCTAAGGGGCTTTGGTTCGCGTTTCGACGGGTGCAAGCCATCAGAATGTGACCAGTGGGTGTCGCTTTGCCCGCAGGGTGCGACCAGGAAGAGGCCGACACCGACGGTGGGGCCAGCGCCCAAGCAGCAAGGGACGTGTTCTCACAGATCACCTGTCGAGCACAACGCTGCGCATTGGCGTTTGGGATCGATCATCAGTGGATGGTGAGCCCCGTTGGCTTAAGCAAATTTCTCAACACTGCGTGCCTGTGCTTTTGTTGTTCCGCTAAGCAAAACATCTAACCGATGTCTATGTTCTTGTTTCCTAATGGAAAACAAAAGCAGACTGTTTAGAGCCAGACGCAAGCCCACAAGCTCATGAAGTACTGCCGATTCATCTTACCCGAAATTTGACGTTGTTCTCATCACACGTACCCGTGTTCCAAATGGGTTCAATTGTTGGCATCTCGAACTGGGCTTGGCGATGCTCTGCAAAACAGGGAGCCTATCGCGCTGAATGTGACGAAATGTGTAATGAAATCCGATGGCATGCCCGAAGTCGCCAGCTTGGGGCAAGGGCTTTTTTCTTTGTCATACGACGTATATGACAAATGCAATTACAACGAGGATGCAGGTGCAGGCGATGTCATGTTTCTACAAGAGTTACGGGAGGGTAGGTCTCCAGCCCATTTCCAGGATGGATGGCGCGCAATGTGAGCTTGAATTCTTGGCAAGCCAGTGTCGCATCTCTGGTGCAGGCTGAGACCCTCCTCCCCGACGCCCGCTGGGTGTGGGACGAGGACTGGGGGCAGCCTAGCCAGCGACAATCGGAGGGCGACCGTCCGTGGCAAAGCTGCTGCCAGGGTGTCTAGTCTGGGCAAAAATGCATGCCTCATCGATGGAAATAGCGCACTGGGTCGGCAGGTGAGCACCGCCAGTAAATGGACGACGGACCACCGGCGACACATTGTTCCAATGTGCATGACAGATTAGGATGTAGTTTGGGAGACATGAGGGGGGTGGCGGCAATGAGCCTGCCCGGGCCTGTGCACACCGCACAAAGTCCAGACCACAGTCATCAAGCCGATTTCTCCACCCGGGCGGCCACGCCGATCCAGATATAGTCAAAATATCGCTGCACCGACACCGGAATCGCATGGAATCCACATGGAATCGCATGAGCCAAAAGGGAGAATATTGTGTCCACCCTGGGATCCCCAGGCGGGAAGCACTCAGCAGTTGGACTTGGGGCGGAGCGCTGAAATTCTGTCTTCAAAATTGCCTCTTAAAGACAAAGCGGCGTCCTCAGGTCGGAGCGCGAGCTGCCAGTGCCCCAGGATTAATGCTGTTAAAAATCCTGGCCGAAATCCCCAGCGTGGTGAGGTGCCATGGAGATTCCAGCACCGTCGACGCCAGTTCTTATCAATTTTTCTCACACAGTGTAGATCCCGAGATTTATGGACATCAATGGGTCGGTGAATACATCCTGGTTCGTGTAAAGGGCCAAGACCGAGGATGATCTCCAGGCCAGGCGCCAACGAGCAAGAAACAGCGCTGAGTGCGGCCTGAACTCGAGAAACCTGGCGACGAACAACGCAGCACAGGACAAGTGTACTGTTTTTTGTGTGGTGCTAGATGGCTGGAGCAGCTACACAATTGTGGGAACGGAGTTTCCACATGTGCAAGGCCTAGCTGCTCCGGAAAATCTGCAGAACTGCGTAGTTGGGACAACAGTTGTTCGCCGCGCTGCAGGAGCAATGCTCAGATTTCCACATTGTCGATAGGCAGCAAGGTTCTGCCCATTGGCCACGCAGATCAGAGTCTGTGCTGGGCAGGAAGGGAGCGTGAGTGCGATGGGGTACCCTCATGCCCCTGTGTGGGCTCAGAAGCAGCAGTTTGTTAGTGCCAACAATGCTTGTAAATGGTTGAACGATGTGTGTGGAAGGCTCACGCAGCTGCTGGACCCCAGGCTCTCTGAGATTCTTAAAGGCACTGGGTGGAGTCTTGCGGCAAGTAGCTTTTGGTAGGATGGGTGAATAAATGCAGGGCAAGGGGCACTGCAAAGGAAATGGAGGAATTCAGGTGTCTCCTTTGCTGCTGCCCACTGCCACTGGCCTTCCAATGTGAGACTGAAGTACTGTCCTCAGAGAACTGTCGCTACACGATGACAAGAGTTGAGAAGGAAGGAATTATGATCCAACAGGCCTGGAGCTACTATAAGTACAATGCCAAACAGATGTTCAAAGACAGCTGTGGCGCCGGGCCCCCACATGCTAGATCAGTGTTCTGCAGCTAGGGCCAGTTTGAATGCAGTGTGCACACCATAACGTTCCACAGTACACAAAGCAGCCAACCATGTTGCACGGCATCCCACTTCAGTCATGAACGTGGCTTCCTGTGCGATGGCTTCACCATGACTCGAAGCGATCCTGTTGGGCACTGACCCTCCATCAGGCTCTCCGTCAATCCTTCTTTTTGATCTCTCCCATCGAAGCTGCAGCTTCCTTCAGTTGTCTGTTGTACTCCCGGTAAAGCAGATTCAGGCGAGTATACTGTGCCCAAAAGGTGAAGCGTGAGGTGATGGAATTGGGCGGTCACAAACAGGGCCAACATACTGCAATGCAAGGATCGTAGATGGAGAGCCACACATCAGGCTCTTTACATGATCCCTTGGGGCTCATTTCTTCATAGCCCATCTGAAAGATCCCATTGCACACAGGGCAAAGACAGCCACTTGCTATCTGCACATCTGGTGGCATTAAGTCAGTCAACTCGCATTGCTGAGCTGGAGTGATATTCCACACGTTCTGCGTATGCATACATGTACATCATTGACCTGTCAGCATAACAGACGGAACGACTTGGGGGTGAATGCATATCTTGCTTTAATCATGCATGTAGGGCGCTCTTTCCAAGCGTTGCTTCTACGAATCCTTTCGTTTGCGTGTGCTAGGTTGACACGATAGGTCAAGCCCCAGTCAGGATATGATAATCTGTGCAACGTATTACACAATCGCCCAAATTCGCTTGAAGGACAGCAAAGATCCCATCAACAATTGTATTGATTCCTTCCAGTTGGCAAAGTCAGATTTGTTTGGACACGTCCCCAATCTACAGTTGGACAGAATCCTAGGGTGCCTACAGATGCCTAGGCTGCTCAAGAGTTGAGAACATGGTGTGGAGCTTCCACTCTTTTGAACCTTGCCCTTGTGCCTTTCAGGTTGCTTCTACCCCAATCGCCATTCTCAAATAGGCTCACATGTAAAATGGCAGGTGCACAAGAAGCTCTCACTGCGCAAAAACTCAAATCTCAGCCCCGCGAGTCACACACCTCTTTCCTGTGGTGCAGGCACTCAAGGTAGTCGTCCCGCACATCTGTGCATTTGTTGGGGTCGTCCGTTTCGCTCATGCACTGCAGCCAGCCACGCCCGCGATACCACACTTCAGTCAGGGCGGCCACCCGCTGCCATAAAACACCCCTCCCCCCTCCCCCTCAGCGCACGCTTCCTGGTGGTTCGTGTTGCATGTGTTTCATTTGCTCATCACCTTGCACTGGGATACTTTACATCAACTTTCACAGTCTGGAAAAAGAGTCTCGCGCACAATTGCTTAGGAGGGTCTGACCTTTGAAGTACCTGCTTCTCGTTTCTTTTTTCGATTACAAATTCCCCACCCCCCCCCTTCCCTGTGTCCTTGTTCGTCCCCCACCTTAGAGAAGTCCATCCACAGCGGGTAACACCTGTCACCGCCAAAAAACACTCTCTCAGCAATCGAGTCCCACCGCATCAATCCCTTGGACGCAGACGCGTGGTTCTGGAGGGCGATCTTCGCGGCCGACCGCCCTGGTTCCGACGTCGAGCATCGCGGCCGCGACAACCCCGCGCCGGCCACCGCCGCCCTCACCTGCCGGTGTTGCCGGTGATCCCGAACCCGCTGGCCATCGCGCGGCGGTCCGCGCGGCACCCGCGCTGGCGCCTCGAGAGCTCCTCGCCAGCAAGCAAGTGTTGGGCGCAAGTGGAGGAACGAACGCACCAGCTGAACTCCAAAAAGCCAGTGCCCCAGGCAAAGGCGCATCTTGTGCATTATGCGGTGACTGGACGGCAGAAGCGCGGGCTGACGCCAGCCTGCGCAGCCCGGTCTTTGGAGGTTAATTGGAGGCAATCCGCACCGCCCACTGCTACTGCTGTGAGCCCCAAGGGTGCCCTTGGGGCGTTCCAGCGTCGGGCGCGCAGCGGGGTCCCTGCAGCGGGCGCCCGAGTGCACGGGAGTCGACCTGAGGACCCCGCATTGGCCACCAAGATCGCCTTTGCGGCCAAACTCCCCTTCCGGCATCCGGGCATTGGGCCGACGGGCAGAGGAGTCGCGGGACTAATCTGATTCGGTTGGTCGGGGGCGGAGCGCGGGAGGCGCGGTGGGGCGGGGGCCGGGATGGCGTCGCGGGGGCTGGCGCTGGCGTGCTACCGCGCGATCCTGCGGTGGGGCGAGGCCGCGCGTGGCACGCCGTTCCGCATAAAGCGGGACCACCTGGCGGAGCTGTCGCCCGCGCTGGCGGAGGCCTACGTCGCGGTGCACGACGTGGACACGCTGCGCAGCGTGGCGAGGTGGGCCTTCAAGGAGCATAGGGAGGCCAAGGTGTGGGCGCTGTGCGCACGCACCTGTGTGTTAAAATGTTGCGTGTGCTAGAAAGCACATTCGAGGCAGCGAGCAACGAAGGATATATCAAGCACTTTTTGAGCAGAAAACAACTCAAGCATTGTTTGTGCAGAACGTGGCACCGCGCGTGCGTGCGTGTGTGTGTGTGTGTGTGTGTGTTGGTGGTGTTGTTGGGGGGGTTGGGCCTGGCGATGAGGATCCTGAGGGGTATCTGGGTTGTACCGAACCGGGGCTTGAACCGCATTAGAGGGCTGGGGTCGCATGTGTGTTGGGGGGGTGGGCGTGGGGGCAATCAAGGGGCCGCGCCGGAGATGTGAGGGATCCGTCTGCGCGTCCGTGGCGGGTGCGGATGCGTTTGGCGTGGGGAGCGGCCGCGACGCGGCCCCCGAGGCTGGCGTACGGGGATCGGTCCCCTTGGTGGTTTGTTGGGAAGGGAGGGTGTCGATGTGTGTTGCTGGGAGCGGGGCGTGGCGGGGAGTACAGCAGCGCGTCTGGTGACCTCTGGAGAGTGCTGGAAACGGTGTCCCGCTTCGAAAATCTGGGGTGGGCCTGCGGTGGATTGAGGGCAGACTCATCTTTGCCTGTTGCTCGTCCGATAGCCTGTTGCTGGGGAACCTCTTTTGTGTAGCCCATCCAGTTATCCGTCTGTTCTGTTCTCCGGGTATCTGTCTACAGGATCATTGAATGAAGGATTGACAGCTCATTTGCATTTAGATACAGCTGCCCATCTGAGCGAAGCAAAAATCTGAGGAAGGCAGCTTGCATGTTATATTCATTGCGACCATTCACGCTACGTCGTGTCTGAACCTGAGCCGGGTGAAGGTTGATAATCGTTGTCCTTGCAAGAAGCAGCGCTACTATTGATGAAGCCCTCCGTTTGCGGTGGGAAGCTGGAAAATTTCAGAACGAAGGAATTGCTCCGTGGGTTTGTGGCAAGCACTATCGTAACTGTTGGACCCAGTGTGGCTTGGTCACTGACAGTTGTGTGCATTGGTGTGCAAGGATGCAGAAGAGCAACAAGCTATTGCAAGCGCATTGGAGGTCAGCATGGATTTATCTGTGAATGCTATGCAACAAGTCAGGGCAACTGTCAATGTGTTTTCTGAGAGTATGTGCAACACCTGCAGTTTGAGAGAACATGTTTTCAATAGTTGTTGTCTTCCCAATGCCAGGGGCCCTTGGCTTTTTTTTCAGTTTCACACATGCACTGAATCTGCGTGTCTGGTTTGTATTCCTGTGCTTTGCTTTTGCCCTGTGCTGCCTTGGGGCAATATGCATCGTCAGTGCTTGACCAATAATTGACAATTGTGTTCACCAATGAATATGACAGTAAGCCCATGTTCTGGACTTGCAGATGTTTGTCTCACCATCATCACTGTTTTGTCCCAGGCTGTGCGATTGCTGAATGCCGAGTACAGTCCACTGGTGAAGGACCTGCAAGATAGGAGGTTGGCAAACACCGACAGGAAGGGAGTAACCTTTCGAGTTGGAGATGTAGGTCTTATAAGTGACTTTGCACTGCACCTTGCTTGGACCTTGTAACCAGTTTCTCTTCCCCTCACTCTTGCTATCATTTGTTCTTGATCTCACTCTATTGCTCTCATTCTTACACTTTTGGCACGCAGACGTAACGCAAAACAGTTGCTGGATGTGAAAAGTACCCATCATCATTATGTGCAGGGTCGGCACATCGTGTTCTTTGGGTACCGCCTTCGAATCAGATCTCGCCTCACCAGTCCATCTCCATGCTCATCCCCCACCCATTCTTTGCGTGATGCCCTTGCTGCTCTGCCAAACAGGTTGTTGAGAACATCAAGGAGGGATATCATGGCATCGTGCTGGGTTGGGATCGTGTCTGCAAGAAGCCAGCAATGGTGAAATACAAGAACCTAAGATTTGATCAGCCCTTTTACAGCATCCTTCCAGGTGCGCCCCAGTAACAAAGATCATGGCATGGGCATCGTTCATGTTTCATTGTTCACGGCTTGTTATGTGTGCTGGGTAGACAAATCGTGCACATTCACATACAAGGCTAGAGATCAGTTGGCAAGTGCAGGTCAAACTTGCTAGTCCTTGTGCAACGCTGATTCATAGGTCTAACCTCAGTGTCCTTCATGCTTGCTAATCTGCAGTGAAAACCCAGCAACGAATTGTGCAACCAGAGAGAAGCTGCCTCTCCACCTTCGCCACTTTGTGGCTGTCTTGAGAACTGCACTGCTGGAACCATGAGAGCTGCAAACCACATGTTGCACTCGATGGATTCAGTTAAAGCTAGCACTGATGTGCATTCAAATTGCATTAGGCATCTGGACACTTCGTGTTTGGATGCAACGTCCACTGCTGCCCATCGGCTACCACTGTTCAGGAATGTTGACAAGATACACTGAAACCCTGTTGCAATCCACTCTTGTGTTGTGGGGAGTTGTGGTCTGGGATGGCACCCTGCTAACGGTCTTGGTGTGGGTGCCTTCTGCAGATCAACACGATTCTGTCAGGGCATATGGAATGCCACGTGTGTATGCATATGTTGCTCAGGTCAGTGTGACACAGCTTGCTGTTTGTGGCATGCTGGAATGCTGTTTGAGCCTCTCAGCCACATTGCCGGCAAGAGAGTTTGCATAGTTGATCACTACCATCGAATTGCTCCCCTTGCATTTTGACTTGAACTGTAGATTCTTTATGATCCCACAAGGGAACGCAGTGTTCAATTAAACATTGCATTCTTTGGCTCATCAGTGCATGTTGAACATAGAAAAACTGCATTGGGACGTCCAAAGCATCAGCATCAGCCACCGATCATTGCAAGTTGCCCTTTTCACAAACAAACTTCGATTACCTGCTGGCACAAGTTAATGAACGTGGTGATTCAAATCAAAATTCCTTAAATTGGTATGCCAAGAGCAACAGTCGTGGCACATGTCATACTGCAAACAGAGTACCTCATGTGTAGCTGGGTTGGAGATTGATGTGGTGGTTAGTTTCACATTGAGCAGGAGCATGTCCAGCGTTCTGCAAAGCCCAAGCAAATAGCCAGTTGCAATATGGGGAACTACTTCGAGGCATACAGTGGCCTGCAGGGAAGGTGAGCTGGCAGCAGATCTTTTGAAGGTTGGATTCTGCTTGGAATGCGTTTGTCACAAGTCTGAATAGAAATGCTACCCTCACACCTGTAAGGCGGTTGACAATGCCATCCTGGCAGCCAAATGCACCGTTGAGTCGGATTGCTCAGCGAGTAATGGAGATTGACAGCAGGAACACAAGGTAACAGGGTTGGTGCACATAGAATAGCTGAGCACTGCGAGTATTTTTTTCTGCTATTCTTTTGCTTCACCTTGGCCCAAGGCACATTGCATCTTTTGAACAGATTGCCAGCCAGCCATCATGCAAGAAGACCCAACCAGCAAAGATTGAACGAGGTGTTGTCTCAAGTTCAACCAATTGTACAGGCAGTTAGCCACGGAGGCCAATGTTCTGCGGATGCACTTGGTGCTTTTTGTGGCCTCGTGTATGCGTAGCTATGGCACTTCAATAGTCAGCAAATTTGGTCAAAGCACATCCCAGTCCATAGTGGCTTAGCAGGGCTGTGTTGCCTCCCCAGGTACATCCCAAGATACAGCCTCCGGTTTGAGTATCCTGACGACTACGAGGCGCATGACGCAGTGCCCCTTGAGGGTGGGACAGACATCGCTGATCAAGGCAAGAAGGCAAGACCCAAGAAGAAGTCGCTGAGCACTGGCCTTGCCACTGGGAGGGCTCCAAGGAGGGCCAAAAAGGCAGTGATGGAGGAGAAGGTAGCCCCATGAAGAGGTGCGGGTTGCCACTCCACTCACAATTTTTGGACCCAGAGCTTTTGTTTAGGGCACAAAGAGAAACATTTCATCACACGTAAGATTCCCAGTCTCAAGCAGTTTTTTTTTGTCGGGCTCATAACAGGACCTCGTTGTTAACAGAATGCACAGGATCTATAAGATGTACAGTATTTCAGTGGCTAGCAGATCCACTGAATCTGCAGCATCTTCCACACTGGTATGCGATGATGGAGAAGTCTAGTAAGCCTCCAACAAATGTGCAGTGGGCATATTGCCAATGGCAAGTTTTGGATCGAGACACAGGTGGAAATGCCCTTCCAGTGTTTAGTCTGTCACAGCCCACTAACTGTGAGTCCAGTTAAGGGGACTCCCCTTCAACTTTGTGAAATAGAATGTGCCATGTTATGTTTTGGTGCATTTGCCCCATCTGTGCAAAGCGCTCCCCAGACACTGGGAACAGGCAGCCAAAGATGTTGTTACAAAAGAAACCCCAACAGGTACACAAAATGTAGCGTGGATCAGACCCTACCTGTTACTCTTTTCATGTTAACCGTTATCACCAAACAGCTACTCAACAAGGTTTGCATCCCACAGTCTCCAACAAACTAGGGTGCCATTATGCTGTATCATCACAGAATATGCATCATGTCGACTGACATCATGAGGTTCTGCGTGTGAATGTACTGCTTCAGTAGCACAGCCAGTCTTACTTGACAGCATCCTGCACTAATCTGGCACTTTTCACATTTGTGCATCGAACATTCGTCAGTGCAGTACTCTCAGTGTGCCAGTGGAAACATCAGCACTGTCTTGCTTTTGGATGTCCATCCCATAATGTCACCTTGTTGATGTCTCCTGTTCATCTGTAGCTGACAGTTCTTCCCTTTATGGAACCACTCTGATGGAACTTGTGCAGACTTGCATGCCAACGTGTTCACTGCCATGTGCGACATTCTGAGTAGAGAATCCACAAATCTGCATCCAAAGATATCATTAGACTGTCTACTTGGCAAGTAGACAGACTAATGATAGGTGCAATGCACCTGCACACCTGTTCATCCTGTGTGCGCGTGTGTGGTTGTAACGTTAGTGTCCCTTTATGGTCAACAAGCATGCCCCACAGTTCCTCAAACGTGCAATGGGAGAATGATACAACAGTCCCAATCCAGGCAAAACACAATCCTAATTTATGCAAGGGCCAGCCAGGCGAAAACAATATTTGTGTTTAAGGGCGAGGGTTCTCTGAATTTTTGAATTATTGGGTCCAGGTCAGTTTGTTGTGACCATATCGGTGTTCAAGTGAGTGGGTTTTAGGTTGGCATCTTGGATTGTGGGCAAAGTCAAGACTGCTGCAGATGGATAAGGTTTTCACGTTTCTGAGAGTGGGCTAGTTCGCTCAACCTGGACCAGGTGTATCTTCTACAGCATGGGAACTGTCTTTGGTGTGAATGAATATGATGCTGTTGTTCGCCAGACATAACATGTACCTTCAAAACTAAACAGCATTTTCCCTGACGAACGGAATGAATGCGCCAGTGGCCAAAGCCCAGAAATTCACTGTTAATTTGTGTGGAGCAGTGTGAGTGTGTGTTCAATGCACTTGCACCCCTAAACTGTACTTTGTAACAGAGATTGATCCCCTCACTCATCTGATGCTCTCGCCCTGTCGTGTCAGCAGGTGAGACAGGACATGGCGAGCAGAACTCCCTCAGATGCAGTTTTGGGACCCTTGTTGCACACAGGAGTCGTCTCTGCCAGCAGATCATATCTCTTTGTGAGCTGGGGTCAGTGTAGGAAACTCTTCGTCTGGGCGTTTGGGCTTCAGGCCAGCTGACTGTACATCTAGAACGTGAGTAACTCAAAGTTTCAAACCGCTGCAGGCCTATCAAACAGCAAGTTGGGCGCTGGCCAAGGGCAATTGTTCATATGAATGTGCTTCTTTTGCCGCGGGGCACAGGCAGGGATGCTCAAGAGGTGGGCTTTTGCACTCATCTTCCATGGCCACCCAGATCCCCAAGTGTACATGGTTGTTTGTGCATGCTTTGGGGAACAGTTTTGCACCGTGGTCATGCAGGCGACTTTGGGGGTGCAATGACACAGGAGGCCAGACTGCCACTCAGGGGCTGTTGTCACGGCCTCAGCATCGAGGGGCCTCGGTCTTCGGTTGTGTAATTGATTCAGGGCCTGGACTCCAGGTGTCGCCAATGGTGAATGGGCATGAATGCATTTCGTCAGATGTCACTGTCAGTTGATCACCGAAGCGCGTCTGGGTATGCACCATTCTGTCATCAATGGCAAGACATTGCACTCGCGGGTATGAGGCGCTGGTGAGAGTTGTACTGACCACAAATGTCTGTGGCCAGTCAATTCATGTGTCCACATAGGGTTGCGCATGGAAGTGGAGGCATAGGTGCCTTTGGCCTGGCTGCTGTCACCATGTAGAGTGGTGTGGAACATGGCCTTGCACCCTCCAATGCCGCCGTCTGCACCAATTGCAACCACATGGAATAAGGAGAATGGGGCGAATGAGGCACAAACAAGCTTCTTGGCTCCGTGGCCGTCGTCACCTTCCAAGGTGCAAGAAGCCTGTTTCGCCTCGTGAAGGAAATTTGATTGAAACCGAGATCTGCCATGCGTGTCATGGTGCCCCTGTGCTCTTGTTGTCTGTCCAATGACGCCCAACACATTTCTGTTCCAGAAATGCCCTGCCACACGTGCTTATTCTCCAAGCGTGGGGCAGCAGCCCTCCCACATTTCGTTGTCCCAATCAGGAGAAGGTGGAGGTGGCGTCCGTGGGTGGTTGCCCAACTGCCACACGTCACCGCCACAAACTCCGGAGGCGCTGTTGTGATGGGGCGTGGCGCTGCTGAGAGTGACGAACGGACATGGCATGGAGATCCCAGGGATCGCCATGGATCGCTCTTCCGCAACATCGCAGACTCAGGCCATTGTGGTGGTAATGGCATCGGGAGCGCTGAGCACAAGTGTCGCTGTCTCCAGCACCACGACAGATTAGATTGCTATCAAAGGCGGGCGCCTCCCACGATGAAGATGGACGATAACCAGCCCTCGCATGTGCCCGGGCCCTGCCGACAGTACACGAAATCCGGAAGCCGGAAGCCGAACACACGCTCAAAATCACAGCACATGGGCTCCCAGTGCGCGGAGATCCGTTAACACCACAATGTACGCGATGTCGACCGTTTCGACTTGGGAGGGTTTTCCCTTGTGGACGGGAACAGTTCCTGCTACGAAGTCTTCAAATTCGTTTATTCCCAGGCAGCACAAGGACGAGACATTACAGAAAAGGGATTGATGCGGGCAGGCAACAGACGAGCAGTGCTTTCCAAAGCAATGGGGTCCTTCTGCAATGGCTTCAAGTCGGCTCTCTGTGGTGCATGGGTGCACTCCGAGTCTCAGGAACCGTTTTACATAAGGGAGACATCCGGTGAACTGCATATTAATTTGTCATTTTCGGCATCGCTGCAGCGAGCTCGAGATCCGGAATGTTGCAGCCTGGACTGCAGAATATCTCCTTTTCCTGGACTACACTCTACAGAACACTGCACATGTGCGTTTGTCAAGCACCCGCGAAGGTCACGAAGTTGCGGCTGGTGCTGGGATGCCGAAAGATGCATGGCTCGTTCGCAGAGGTGGGCACAACTCACTGCCAAAGCTCTGGGATCGAAAGATCCCCGTCGCATCTTCCACGAGCCCATGTCTTCGCTTAAACAAGGAAGAAATCGGCAAATTCGGCACTATTGGACGAATCTGTGGAGTGTGCTTCAGCGCTTGCTGCTGTGGCAGCCGACGTACTCGACGCGCCACCGAAGTTGCAACAGGTGGCCCAGATCCGCACTGACTGGATTTCTGAACATTTGAGACATCACCGCTGCTGCAACCCGCATGTGTGCCCCACGGCTGATGTCAGGCCCACTGCGACTAAGGGCGGTGCTGTCTGCCGCAGCCAAGCGGCAGGATCTCTGCCTGCAAGCGCACCGTTCCACACGCAGACACCAGCCCGTCCAGAAATCGACCTCAAGCGTTTCTCACCGCCTGCATCTCTCATCTGCACGGAAGTGGCAAAACTTTTAGGAATGCCGAATTCCCTCGAGCCCAACATGCAACCATCCTTAACCATCCGGTTCTGCGCCATGCTCTTTAACTCCAGAGTCGGAACAAAGGCTGCTCAGCTCCGCACCCACCCACACTCACCAACCAGCCTGCCTGCTACCTGGAGACCATCTTCTTCACGGCTGGAAGGATGTCGTCCAGAGATCTCACCCTTAGGATCTCGAAGAGCTGGCTCGCCACCTTCTGGTACCTCGGAAGGATGTCATCCAGGCGCTTCAGTCTGTCCACGAGCTTCTGGGCGTGGGCCACGACCTGCGAGGGAGGCCCAGTTTCATTGCCTTCAGGAGTTCGGGTCTCGAAGTGGGATGCGGCCTATTCCGTCAACGCCATTCACCATCTCCGCTGCCTTTCACGTACCTACACACTAGTCAGGTTGGCGTGTGAATTGAGTACAGCTGCGTTTCGGCCGTGTCGTTTCGGCAACGTTCTGGGCTGCCGCATGCACAAGCCCAGAACTGCCCACAATGGGTTCTTCGATAAAGGTAATACATACATGCATATGTACCTACGTACCTATATACTATACATCTCATCGCCTTTTGGTAGACCGTCAATACGTCCATTTCCTGGTGGAATCGCGTTGTTGTGATGTTCTTGTCTTGGTCAGCTTCATAGAAACCTAAGACGCTCAGCTTCCAAGAAGTTTGATAACACACTACTGCTGCAGCTGTTGCCACAAGAAGGACAACATGACATGACCGCCCTGGTCTCAAGGACCAGATGTCGTGATATCACTCTTTTCCTGCTTCGGACTGAATTCCTGCTGTCCAGCTTCCTGATGCATGATTTAGTGACAAGGGGAGCACCTGACTCGGCAGTGAAACCTGAAAGATGGTCATGACCGCCACGACGATGGAATC